TATTATTGTTATTGTTATTATTATTGTTGTTGTTATTGTTAGTATTATTATTAGTAGTAGTATTTGTATTAGTATTAGTATTTAAGCACAGTTAATAAAACAACCTGAGTAAAAAAAATAGGTTGTTACAGTCTAATCTCGAAGAACTGATCCAATTTTACATCTACGCTCAGATAAAATGGGCATCTAAAACCACACATACTAAAAAAGAAAAAAGAAGATATAAAACAAAAAGAACTGAGTGGAAAAACCCCTGTCATCATGTGAATTCGTAGAAAAATTTTGCCCCTTTGGTTTTTGACAAGAATTKTAGAAAAGTTAATGGTAAAATATGAAACAGATACTGTCGATGACTCAACTGCACATGAACACAGACTGAAGACTAAAGTCAGCATTTTAGGTTTAATATTGTGAACAGAAATCACACATTGTCGACTGAACAAAGAGGAACATCGGTCACAAGGTAAAACAAAATGTGACTGATGTGGTTTAATGTTTTTGAGTTGTTTATAAAAAATAAAGTGTGGTAAATATTTGCAGTTATAGAATAATCATTATTCTACTTTAATCACTAACCAGACTCCTTTCATTTCAACAGTTTATTTGTTTTATGGGGTGGAGGGATGCTTCGTTTTACATTTTCTTCATCAGGTAAAGAGGAAAGATTTGTTTATCTGTAAAAAAACAACACAAAACAGTTGTTATTGCTGCTGTCAGTAATGTGAAGGGAGGTTCGACAATATTTCTCCARTTTTATCAGTTTTTACCCCCAGAATCACATGAGTCAGGCTGAATTTTTTTGTAGCATCATTGTAAACAAAAAGCAATTTATAAAACCCTTTTAAGGGTAAAACACTTCATCACTGAAGTAATCAGGCTGGAATGAGCCTCARCAGATGAAACAAAGAACTGTGAGAACAGAAGATCAAATAGAAAAAACAATAAGGAAGAMAAATCTTCATTAGATTTACATGTTGGCAGAGGAGAGAGGAGCACTACATAAGTTAAAAGAGCCAAGGACAGGGTACAAAAACAAACTAAAGCAGAATCTTCTCAGTATCTTCTCACCTGAATTTCCTGTTTTCTGTAACATTTTAAAGTTGTTGATGAACGAGAGGAGGTTTACTGTTTCTCCATTTATGGGGGATGATCATGTTAAACATGTCAGAATGAGAATTCAAGTTCTCTATGTTGAAAACAATATAGAAAATATTAAAGGATATAGTAAGGTTTATAGCAGACATCAGACTCCTGATAACCATTTGATAATTTTGGCCTGCTCCCAATTTTCTCTATCTCTTCTCATGCCTCTCCAGCGGGCTCTTCTGTTTGGGTGTTTATTTTGAGGGAATGCAAATCCTCTGCGCACCCCCTTGTTACAAAAAAAGGCTTAATTACATGGTCTCCTGTATGTATCTTGAAGAGATTCGATACTCTTTATCAGACAATCATAATTTCCTTGACGTGTGGGATCTTTTTAATAGGTATGTATGAAGTACTGGGCTAAAAACACCTTAGATCTCTGTTATTTTTTGTTTATTTTTCAATAATATTACTGTCATGGTTATTTTTACTTGCATTCTTTATTGACACTGTTCTGTTCAATAATGCACAGTTTGATCCACATTTAGATCTGCCTGTTGTCCTAAAGAACTCTGTCTCGCGCTTGAACATGCACTTTGGACTGATATGCAAGTTATTCTTTTTCTTTTCTCCATCTTATTAATACACCAGATGGCTGACAGCTTGTTTGATTGTTCTGGTTCTTAGTCATTTAGTTTCTATTGTTTGATATTTGTCTGTTCTAGATGTTTAATTTTGAAAATTAGAAATAAAGTATTTTTTAAAAAGAAAATATTAAAGGATTAAATATTTTGGATTTAGAGTGATAGCGAACCATAAGCATTGAAC